AGACATTGCCTGGGAGTCACGTGGGCCAGGAGCACTGAATGGCTTTACTTGACAAGGGATCAAAGATTGTGTAAAATGCAAAGCTTCGGTCACATTTCAACCAGAGCAATGTCTGTGATAGAGGAATTGTAAACGACATCTTATAGGAAACATCCCTCACAAGAGCAGTCCGCCCTTTGCAGCCCTCAGAGAAGTGAGAGTGATGGTTGCCGGAGACACACGTAAACAGGAAAGGAAGGGAGCCCACGGTATCAGCTTGGGTCAGCGCCATATGAATCAGTGGAATCCTATTTCCAGGCGCTAGAGGCCATGTCTTCTCAGAAAGCAGAGATGGAAACAGGACTGTAGGAATACTGTTGCCTCCAGGAAGCAGGAGAGGTTTAATCGAGATAATCTGTGAGGTCAAACTTCCCAACCACTTAGGTGGCCAAATAGCTCAAGAGAGAGAAAGAGAGCTGTGGCATTTTTATAGGTTTACAGAAATCCATCCAACCCCTATGCCCAGCATGGACCAATACTCAATAAACATGTGGCATGGATCAATGTGAGGCATGAATCATACTAACTCTAAGGCAGGGGTGACCATGCAGGGGTAGACTCAAGGAGTCTTTGTAAAGAGATAATCCATGTCCTGGCTCAGAGGAGCCTTGATGATTCCAAGTCCTTTAAAAATTTGATCTAGAACCACAGCACACAAAATATGAGTGTGGTGCAGAAAACTGACTGGGAGTTCACCTTGAATCAGGCCAGCCGGGCAGGGGGAGAATGAACATGGTTTTCAAGAGGAAGAAAAGATCTGAGTGAGATGAACAGCTCGTTTCTTATAAAAGCAAAAACACAGTTCAATAAGGACCCCACAAGGAGACCAGCGAGGATCTGCAGCAAGCCCTCTCATGATAGGTTGGAGTGTACAGCTCAGAGAGATCAGAGCCTGAGAGGAGGTATAGTCACCTCTGCATCTGAAATCTTAAATAAAATGGCACTGGATTTGAATATACCTACCCACAGCCTGAGCATCAGGGAGGGTTTTCCTGAATTAGGGTTTGCGGGTGAAAACTATTCCTCAAACCAGGATGGAGGTGTGGCAACCTCATCCTGGAGACCCTTCCCCACATTAATTACTCTCTTTCCTGCCCCCCTTTGTGTGCTCCTTGTCTTTATGACTCATTCCTCTCTGTGTGCCCTCTCAGAGTTTGAATACAAAGATCAGTAGAGCCATTCAAACCCATCCCATTCTCTGTGTCCCAAACACCTGGCCTAGAACTGCCCCAATTTTGGGGCACTGAAGCCCCATCCTGGTAAACGCAGGCCCCGAGGGCTCCCCAGCTGGACCATCTCCACCCAGCAGGTTATAGCACGTGGATTCCTCTCTGTGGCCAATTATTTTCCATGGCCCTTGGCCATGTGACCTCAGTCCACGACCTTGTCAGTACTCATAAACTAACCAGGAGTGTAATGAATCACACTCAGGGAGGAAACCTCTGGGGGAAACTGCAAAGGGCTGGGGGAGGAAAGAGAGTAAGCTGGGGACCCAAGGCCATGGGCACCTTGCTGCCCCTCACCCATCTCTGAACAGCTTTGTCCTCTGGAAAGGAAAGAGGAGAAGGCCTTGGGAGGGCTAGTCTTCTTAATAAGACTTAGTGTCTCAGTCCAAGAGGCTTATTGTCCCCAGTACCCCAAATTTGGAGAAACCACTTGCTTTAGACACTCATCGAATGCTTTGAGGTTGTCAAAGTCCCCATTCTTAGGAGCACTAATGTATCATCATAAGATAAATTAGATGCCATTTGACACACATGTGCATGTGCAACCACATCTACAGCTAGACACAGAGGTCCTGTGGGAGGTGATGAAAATGTTGGAGGCCCTTGATTCCACACGGATGGCAAGGATGCTTTAGGGTTGTTGCATGAAAAGTCACGCTTTATCAAACACACTGATTAAGTTGGAAAGGAAGTACCAATGAAATCTTCTTACTCTCCAAAATCCTGAAAGTGGGTGTTATATAAACAAAGCCCCATGCTTCTCTGCCTGTATTTTGGGGGGGATTTTTTTTTATTTCTTACTTTAAATAATCTTGGAATTACAAAGTTTTGCATCTCTGTAGTTTTGGATCACCAGTTACCTAGAGTTCTCTGACAAGTTAATGTATTGTTAGAGAGGTAATTTCTGAAGGAAATATGCACAGTTAAATACATCCCTTAACTACATATATGTTTGAATGACTCTGGGCATTCATTTGATTCAGTCCTGGCAAGCAGGGTACATGCAAGTGTGTCCATGGATAGAGCATATATACTTTTGCATTCGCAAAACCTCAGTGAGCCGCATGCTATTTTAAGAGCCTGAACTCTATCTTTCAACAAAGTTTAGCTGCTTTCCTTTTGCAAATGCATTCAATTTTATCTGGAAACTTTTTGACGTTAGAAATAGAACAACTGTAGTTTCTCATTATGTTTGCTGCCAGAATCCATGCTTGGTTGCTCAACTAAAGACCTTACATTGCTAATTACTACCACATGCCCATATCCCAAGCGAAAGAAAACTTATTGATTCTGACAGCCCATTCTCTCAACACTGAATTCCAAATGAAAACTCAAATTTTGGCCAAACATAACATTTCATCAATCTTGTTCTACTGACTGGAAAAACAACATCAAACAAAGGGTGCTAATGGCCCTTTATTACCGTTCCTTTCCCAAGCTTATACTTTCTGATGAAAGATCTAAGTGACCAAAGGGCTTCTTTAAACTACTTAGTAATTAGCTTTTGAACCAGGAAACACTGCGCAAAGTAAAGTGAACAGCCCCGGTGTCAATGACAAGGTGGACTCTCAGTCCACAGGGCTGGGAGACACTGGAGACCCAAAGAGGACATTAAAAGCAAAGTGCATTTTTATAATAGGAGGGGGGGGGGGGGGGAGAGAGAGAGAGAGAAACCAAGCTAAAAGGGGTGATAAAAGATTACAGAGCCAGAACCAAACTGCAGGAAGTCTGTGACCTAAGGTCATCAGCAGGTGGTGGTCTGGGGGGAAACGTCAAGGCAAAAAAGCTGACCAGATCAGACCACAGGCTGGTGAGCAAGCACAGGTCTCAGGGCCTCTTCTGGGCCACCCAGCAACAAAAGCTGCCACCAGCCCACCTGCCTTGGACCAGGTACACTGTTTTTTGGAAAAAATAAATAAATAAAACTTCCACCTGGAGTCAGAGTCAAGAAATATTTTCTACACCTAAGCTTCAGAGCAATTGATTTTATTGGCGTCTTCAGGGGCAGTGATAAGGAAATGCTGGCAGAGACAGTGGGAGGGGGAGGCCATAAAAAGGGCCCCAGGTCCTCACAGTGCCTTCTGCTTTAATGCCACGGGGTCCACGTCTTAAAGGCAAACAGAATCGAGAGGCTGCTTTCCTCTTGGCATGGGATAAATGGCCAAGGGGAATCTCTGGACTTATTTGGCCTTTTGGATCCAACTGATGGCCCAGAAATCAGAACAGCTTGGTTCTAACCTCGTCCAGGGCTGTTAAGATAATAGGGGGAGGAGGGACCCATTAGAAGGAAGATGGCGGGATGTCTGCCTCCACGGAGAAGTCGCCAACTGGCCTCCTTTAGCCCACTGTCCTTTGTGCCTTTGAAAGGAAACTGGTGTCCTGTGGGTACTTCAAGAAAATGAGCCCCTTTTTTGTCCACCTCCTCATTTTCTGAACGGAGTACTGGACACCTGAGCTCAGGATGTGTTGGAATCACCGACCAGAGAGAGGGGTCTGCTCCATCCTGCATGGCTGACTGTCAAGATGGGAGGACGCAACCATGGAGGGGAAAAATAGATGCTTCTGGCCGGACTTTATTTTTCTTAAAAGGTCAAAATAAGCTAATAATTGAAAAATAGAGAAGAAAAACAAAAATACACACACAAAACAGTTCCGTGCTAAGAACCTCCCTGAATGGAAATGGCCATGAGCCCTGATAATTTTTGGTATCTTGATCTAGATGCTGGAGCAGCGACTGGTGTGTACTGAGGCCCAAATTCCTCAAGCAGCGCATTAAAGATATGCACATTTTACTCCATGTAGGTCACATACATAAATTATAAACAAAGCTAAGTGCCACCCAAAAATCTTAAAAAAAAAATAAAGGAAGAATGGCTGCTGCGAGTTGAATCTCCCCTCAACAGTCTTCTCTAAGAAGATGCTCTGGTAGAAAACCAAGAAAATGAAGTCCTGTCACTAATGTAGAGTAAAACTTCTGGTGGATATTGGACCTGTACATTGACATGAATATTGGTAAATGACCCAAGCACAAACTGCGATAGTTCCTAAGAGTCATCAGGAGTATCCAGTAGTGCCCTGACACCATAAATATAATGTCATATCCACAAGGAGTCTCAACTGAGTAGTAAGATCTTTGAGGATGAGATGGGGTCTTCCTGCCTGCAGAGGAGAACTGGTTTCCTGGTGGCCATAGGGCCTTTGCAGTAGGCAAGATAACCTGTATCTTGCATCCCTGCTAGAGTTTCATCCCACATTATAGCTGCATTAACAAAAAATAATAATAATAATAATAAGATGGCATTGCCAAAGGGGCAGGAACCAGAATTAAATTACATAGCCAGTTCTTGTGACAAATACATGAGCTTGGACTCAGAACAGAAAATAAGACCCTGGTATATATGGTTCCCTTTCATGAAAGCCCTGCACCTTGCGGGCTTTCCCTCACAGAAGCACCAGGTTGGTTGGGGAGGGGCAGGATTCAAGGTCACCGCCCCAGGGACTCTGGAAAGTCACTCAACCACATCTTCTCTGATGTCACTGACTTACTTTCTGCCTCCATGTTTGTTAAAAGTCCCGCCGAATTTATTCCGATTCAGGATGAGAGCAGCAATTTCGGGCACGTAGCGGGCAAACATTGCCTACATGCATGAAACAAAGAACAAGAGCCAAAACAAAAAATGGCATGCAGAGAGGATTCTACCGCCGCGGAGCAGCAAAACCTCTTGGCGTACTTACTTTCTTCCACTAACCGCGCTATAGGAGCCCCCGTATTTCTTGCGGTTTCCTATTAACTCTATGATTTCAGGGACGTAGCTGGCAAACATGGCCTGAGGAGAAGAGGGGAGACAGAAGAGAGACTAAAAAGACAGGCCCGAGAAAGGGGGTGACCTCTTCAGAAAGGGGGGTACTGAGATCTGAAAACACAAAAGGGTTTGGCCTGAGAAAGTCTACTCACATGTTGTTGGGTCATAACAAAAAATAAAAGGACAAAAAAGGACAAGATCCTGAAAACACACAGGACTCAACAAACACAAGCCAACCTGCACAACTGGGGCAAGGGGGAGGGAGCAAAAAAGACATCCCAGTCAAGAAAAATACAAAGGAGACAGGAACAGACAAGCTGACAGCTAGCTCCTCTTCCTGAAAAAAAAAAGTAGGTAAACGGGGGTTCGAAGCTGGAACTGAACTCACTCCCACGCACATGCGCACACGCACAGACGCGCAGGCGGCGTTCTTGCAAGACCCTTCCTTTTTTTAATTAAAATTCAAAGGAGAATCAGTGCCCTGAAGAGTGATTAAAGACAAGAAACACCAAAAGGTTTAAAAAGAATAAATTCTGTCATTCAAAACAAAGTCACTAAAAAAGGCAAAAAAAGGTAAATTTAGGGAATCACATGAGAGGAAAGGATAGCAAGGAGAAACACAAATCTGCCATGTTTTGTCCAACAAACATAACCCTGTGGCTGGATAAAGGGTGTCCTTATCTATGGGACCTTGGAGAGACTGCAGAAATGCCATGCTGATGTACAGACACACACACACACATTGGCATACATTTTTTAAAATGTGTATGCTCTATGCATACAGAGATGTGTGTATGCATCACTTATATACATGTGTGTGCAGTGTACATACATGAAAGCTGCATGTGAAATAAGATTTGAATCACTCACCTCATATCTAGCAAAAGTTAAAACTTAAATTAAATTAAATCCACTTTGGAAGACAAATTGCAGCAATCATTAGTGTGTATCAGAGTGCTAGGAGGTGCTTTACTTCAGAACGGGAGATCATACAGTAAGACTTCCTGATTTATGAATGGGAGGAAAACCATACCAGGTGTTGCTGCAAGACAAAGCAGGTTATTGACAAAACTGTGCTCTAATTACTGATAATGTGCCCATGACAAGACCAAGCACTCTCCCTTCTCTGATGTGAGTTCCCTTCTTTTTAGGGTAGGCACCAGCCACAGTGTTTGTTGGAAGTTCAGGAAGGAACATAAAGGGGGAATTGGAGCTCCTGAAACCGCAAACTCTCTACAGAGTATCCACAGCATCTATCAGGGTCGGGTGACAGCAACTGTCCTTGCAGACTATCAGCTGTTGAATTCTATTCCTAAAGACAGGTGCACTCACTTATTAACAGCATCCCTTTCTTAAGACAATTAGATTTAGGTTTGCTCCTGGCTAAATGGCTATCCCTGGCAAGGCAATGTGCCTGGGTCTGTGGACCAAGCAAAACATACCAAAAAAATTTACAGAGAAGTCATCTCGGTGTTTGGATTAAATCTAAAATCCATTCTGATTATAACTAAGGCAGTCACTTGGTTCTAACTCAGAAATACAGTATAAAAATACAAAGCCTTAAGGAAGTAGATAATAGAAAATATTAATGACCATAAAAATCAACATCATAATAAAGAGTTTTTACCAGTCCCCCGAGGATGAAGAAGACCATGAAGAGGCGCCCAAGCGTGGTTTTTGCATAAACATCCCCATAACCAACAGTGGACATTGTGACCATGAGTAAGTAGACACATTCCCAGTATGTAAGAGCCTGGTTGTTTTGGAAATTTTCCCATGGGTCCCCTGAATTCTCCACCTGAAGTAAAGGGAAAAGGGAGAAAAAATAAAAACATCACATACACACACACACACACACAGTATATACAATGAACCAGGAAGCCCAAAGCTCTGGCAGGCTGCTGGCTGAAGCTCACTGCCCTCAACAAAGATGTTTGCTTCCCTGGGCTGAACTGTGTATGTGAGGACTCAGAACCCTGAGCAGATAGCAGAGAAGACTAGGCGAAGCAATGGAAGATCCCTCCTGTCTGACGAGGGCAGAGAGAAACAGAAACAGAAATAGGCAAAAACATCCTCAGTCCATTTTTCTTCTCATTGTTAAAGGTTTGAAGCCAACTGAAATGGGGCATTGCCTCTGGCCCTGTCATACAGTGCTCTTTTCAAGGGAAGAGCCAGAGAGCCTGTTCCTGACCTTTCCTTGCTAAGCCTCCAAGGACCTGGCTCTTGCTTCCCTGCAGACATAGTAGACCCTCCACAGAGGACGCCTCATTTCATTGCTATGGCCAAGGATATGCCCTGTGGATCCCACTCCTTCAGATCTTCTGCTGGGACCCCAAATAGCATCTCTGGAGTCTGATCCTGCCTCCTTTGTAAAATGTCAACAGTGGTTCTGCCCTTAAGGCTGCAGGAACTTCCTGAGGAGCACCAAGACTGAACTCATGGCAACAATTTGCATTTGCACAACTCTTTTGACCAAGGGCCTGCAAACTCTTTCTGTCAAGGGCCAGAGAGTAAGTACTTTCAGCTTTGTGGACCATAGGGTTTCTGATCTCCTCACAAATCACGGCAGTTGTTGGGGGAGACCAGCAGAGGGCGATACTTCACTGAACACGTGAAGCAGGATTGCTTTAGACTTGACAAGGCACTCTCCAGTCCTCCTATCATATCTGATGGGCCAACAAGGCTGTGAGGTGGCCTAGAGAGGTACTTTAGGTACTCCCAGGAGGGAGGGAGCAAGGATGAGGCCATTTCTACTCAGATACCAACTCTGCATTACTAAGAACCAGGCATTGAGATAAGCAGCACTCCCCTCCCCCAGCAAGGCCTCCAGTTCCACCTCTGCAAAATGTTCCCAAGACCTAGCTTCCTCCATACATCAAAAATTCTCCTCTACATGCCATTTTCATGATGTTGTCCTGGTAAACCAGAAAGCATTGCATGTAACACGTAATAGTAACAAGGAGTCACTGACTTCTTAAAGACAACTCCTTCTTCCACATCTGTGATTTTGGCACTTGGTTACAACAAGAATTAGAGTAATGAAGGGTGAGACTGGCCAAGGATCCCATCACCACAGACGGCTGGTGAGCCTCCTGAGATCTGGTGACTGCCAGCTGCCCCCACTTCCATCCCAGCTCCCTTTGCCTGGTAATTACAGGTCCCAAGTGGTGGATAACCAGATTCATCCTCAGATTCCTTGGGCAAATGAGCAAATGAGGCTCCTGGAAGGCAGGTGGCTTCTAGTCAACGTTTCACAGTTTGATAAGGCTCCTTCATGTTTGTCTGAAATGTGCTTCCAACAATAGCCATGCTCTCTAAAAAAGGGGGTGGTGGTGGCTTGTCTTGGGAAGGTGAGAAGAGCTTGACTTAATAATAGGAGGTTTTCAAAGAGCCATTAATATAAAAGAATTAACATTTTTGAGGTACAAAATAACTTGACAAGTAATCAAGCAAAAGAATCAAAAGGCAGCCTTTTGTAAGGGGAAAGTGGAGAGAAATTGAGGGATATGAATTTGTTGTTTACAAAGAGATGTGGGTCAAACTTCCAACCTCGTCCCCAGACCTTTTCTGGGCGTTTGTTGTGGAAGCACTGCCATCTTGTGGCCTTCTGGGGTTATTGCAGAGAGAATGAAAATCTAGGAAAGTCCCCGCTGCAGTATTGGTGGGCTGAAAATGCAGGTTAATAGTGTGAACATCACTCACCATTTGGAACTAGTTTAGGGTAAACAGGTTGGAAACCCAGTCAATTGTGCGGTTGCTTCCTCCTTTTCTGTCTATAACTGAGCTGAAGTTTCCCTTCAGCGAAAGAAAATTCCAGGTAATAAAATGACTCTACGAGGGGCTTATTCCGGGCCAGCCAGAGCTGAAGGGCCTTCAAGGACACTTACCAAATGGATGAAGCCGGCTGCAGTCAACCACGTGCTGATAAATATGGAGAGCAGATTCACCAGCTTGATGGAATTACTGTGCAAGAGACAACAAGCAAAGAGCCCAGGTTAGAGGGAAGACCCAGCTGGAGGCGCCTGCCAGCAAGACAGCGCCCCCTATGTGCGGAGCAGGCTGTCTCTACTGGAAGGGAATTCATTCCTGGCAGGTGGCACACACAGGGGTAGGCGTGAGGGTCACAACAGGGCCTGTAGGGAAGATAACACCTGGACTACTCAGAAGGGTCCCTGAATGAACCCCCTGGAATTTCGCTTTTTAAAAATTAACTTTTGTTTTGAAAACTCTTCAAAAACTCAGGGAAATGCCAAGTGTGTAATAAATACCCATATGCCTTTCACCTAAACTGATCTAATATTAACATTTGGCACATCTGTTTTATCTCCACATGTTCTTTTTCTCTTGTTTTCTCTTTTCCTTTTCTTCTTTCATTATATATATATGACTAAACCATTTACACACAAGTTGTAGACATCAAAACACAACATGACCTTTAAATGTCTGAGCACTCACCCCATAAGAACCAAGACATTATGCAATGTAATCACAATACCATTGTCACACTTCAAAGAATTAACATCAATTCGGTGACATAATCTCACATGCTGTCCCTATTTAAATGTCTCCACAGTGGTCCTGGAATTGTTTATTGATGTTCTCATCTCCCCCACCCTAATCCAGGAACTCATTGAGGCTCATACTCTGCAGATGCCTATTGTATGGCTTTAATCCAGGGGTCAGGAAACTTTTCTGTATAGGGACAGATAGTTAATATTTTAGGCATTGCAGGCCTCAGAATCTAGGTTGAAACTACTCAGTTCTGCAGCTGTAATTCAAAAGTAGCTGTAGACAATATGTAACATAATGGGTGTGTCTGTGTTCCAATAAAACCTTAATTACAAGAACAGGTATTAGGCTGGACGAACCCATGAGTGATACTTTGCCAATCCCTTCTTTAGACTCTTTTAATCTACAAGTAGCACTCCCCTGTCCTTTGAAAATTGTTTTTTAGTGACATTTAATTTTGTGTAAACCAGGCTGTCTTACAAAATGCTCTACATTCCAGATTTACCTGTTTCTCCATGATTAGATGGTATTTAAATATTTCTGTTAAGAATTTCTGCTGGAATGGCCTCACATCAGGAAATCCCAATTTGATGATGACCTAGGTCCACTCAGGATGAAGTGGGGAGGGGAGATGGCTCCCCTGAAGGTTACCACTTCCCTTTGTGCTCAATACACCACCTTGGGGTGAGACTGAGACCATATGAACAGCCTATCTCCCAACCACCTGATGACTAACAGTTTTTGCATCCACCGGTGTTCCTTGAATGGATCAACTGGAACTCACTAAATTTTAAGCTCCATGAGAAAAGGAGACTTGTCTGTCTGGATCCCAGGGACAATGGGTTCCTGGTGCCCAGTATACTGACCATGAATATGTCCTGAGTGAACTGGTCTCTTCCTCTGTACCCTTCCACTAAGCTCACCCCAATAGGGGACAGCTCCTTGGGTGCTGCTCTCAGCAGGCCAATTCCTGTCTCAAGGCTTTCCATTGACATGGACTGACAAGTGATGCCCAACTCTGCCCTTCTGTTGTCAACACCCTGTGAAGTCCCAGACTCTCCTACCTCACCTCCTTGTGGACTTTTGAAGCTGTCTTCACAGTCTGTGTATCATAGCTATGCTGGTGCTCTCACTCAGCCAGAGTGTCTTCCCATCTGTCTATACAGGTCCTATCAGAGACATTTACCAGGAACTGAGTGGGAGAGAGTCTTTCTCCATTTCAGATTTGGGGGTAAAGAATATAAGCCTGAAGCTCTAGTAGACCCTCTGCCCTGGAGAAAGTCTACCTGAGAATAAAATCCCAAACAGATGGAGAAAGAGTCAGAATCCCAAGGACACAAATCTGAACCCCTGGGTGCAGACTTGCCTGGTGTCAGTCAGCTCCCTCTTGGATTCTGTTACTTGCAATCAAAACCCATCTCCCTGAAATAGAAGTGCTGCTGTATTCAGGATACTCCCTGAGAACATAACGGTTGATGGGGTCTCCAAAGGTGATATGGGGCTATCTCCACATGAGACACCCACATGAGACATCTCCTGTGACACCCACATTGTCACCTGACCCTGCAATTAGCTCTGGTAGAAGGCTGGCATTTCCAAAGGCAAGCAAATCCTGACCTTCAACCCTTCGACCCTTATCCCAGCCACCATGGGTCATGCTACCCCCCCCATCCCACCACATACACACACACCTAAGCAGTGTCTGTGGCTATGAATGGGGTCACCAACTAACAAATATAGTGCTTAATGCCTTCCATCTCCATCTCCCCTAGAGCTGAGAGATAATGTAACTCTTGCTTTTCTGCTTCTGAGAACAATTGGCCAGACCAAGAGGCCTCCTCACTGGCTTCTGAAGTCCTTTTGTGGAAGGACACCCCTGTCAACCAGAGATAGGCAGGGTGGCAACAAGACAAACAGATCTAAGGGACTCACCTGGTGAGTCCTATCAGGGGAAGCAAGGCTGCCCAGGAAGGAGCCAGGTGAACCTGCTTGGGCTGCATCAATACCACACTGGTGTTCTCAACTAGTTTCTCCATGCTCAGCCAAAGCAGAGCAGAACATTCCCCTGCCCCTAACCCGTAAGCCTTCTAAGGTGTGCCCAAACATTAGAGAGTAAGAAACAGATGAAGAGGTAGCCAGAGGTCCTAGGGAGGTCTGCACTGCTGTCTTCTCTGGGGATAGTTAAAACACCAAGTTGGGTCACTTACACCCTCCCAAATCCTCAGCATCCAAGCAAACAGTGTGTGCTCAACGACCATGCACTGTCCTTTCAAAATATTATCTCTATTGCCATCTCTGAGTCTCTCAGTGCTTTGGAAAAATGACCTAAATATGGTGATTATTAATCTCTAAATGATTGTCACAGTGATATTAATGGTACTTAAGGAAGTTCTTGCTGTGTGTAGAACATTTAATCAGAGCTGCTGAAAGAGTTCATGTTCGGCACTGAAATCTGATTACTTTTATGACATCAGCATCATCACAGATCCCCAGTATCTGGAATTTACTTTCCAAATTAAATTCTACAACCAAGCAATCTTCTAAAAGCTGTGTGCAAAAGATGCAAGATTAAGCCTGAGTGGACCTTCTCCATTTTCTGAGATGGGTCCCTGGACAGCTTGAGTATGTCTCCTCAGAAGGAGGAAGGGGTTTCCAGGAGAAGAATTGCATGCTCCGGTGGCAGAAGGAGCGGCATCATAACCTTATGGCCAAGCCCAAGGGTCTGGATAAACATGAAGTGACCAATGGTTGGAATGCATAGAACACTTCAGATTCCAGTCTCTTTCCTATGCCTTGAAGGAAGGAGAGACTGTGATCCTATCATGAAAATCTGACCGATCAAAAGAAAATCATTCTTGTCCTTCCATTATGATTTCTAAGTCTGCATCCCATGAACTTTCACTGGCCATCAGATTAATTCACATTAACAGACACAGAAAATCATCATCAGGCAGGCCCAGGAATCTGGTACCTCAGAGATCTTTTCCAAGATTCTGGGGATGCAGGGAGAGAAAGCCTGACTCTTGATACTGTAGATGTAAACCCAGGGATGCCCAGGGCTATCATTTCCCTCCATGAACTTAATAAGCCATGCCAGGGTTGACACTGAAAAGATCATCCAGCTTTCGCAAGGAAGCACAAATTTGTGCTTGTTGACCAATTTCTCCATTTTTTCTGGTTGAGGGTACAGCCAGGTGCCAGTAGCTTTATTTTGTTTGACTATTATCTTTGCTGGATAAATGTAAAATATCCCAACTGTGAAAAGTCAACTGGACTGGGCCACACAGAGATGAAGGATTTGAGCTATAAGACATGGAGCGAAGTGAAATCAAATCCTATCAATTCTACCTCTCTGTCATCTCTAGGTCCCCTCTTACCATCTAAGGCCATGCCCTGGTACCTATTTCCTGGACTACTGTCCCTGTCTCGTCTCATAGTCTACAAGGTCTTAGACACTTCAAAGCTACTCTCTCAACAACTTGTGAAATAGTGGGTCTTTTTAGAAGGTAAGTCTGACTACATTTCCTCCCCTGATTAAAATCCTTTAACAGTCTATCCTGCTCTCAGTACAATCCATGAATCCAAAATTTGGCCTCTATTTCACTCCTTCCAGTCTCTATGTCCAATATTTTTAGTAAACTTTGCCCTGGGGCCATTTCTCAGGTCATACTACATGTAGTAAAGTTTTAATTTCCAAAATTCCCTTTCAAAATGTATTGGTTAGGTACATGATGATATGTGTATATGGGAAATAAAAGTAACAAGGTAGAGAATAATGGTTACCTCAATGTGGCCTGCTGTAGGGACAGCTTTACTTTAGCCGATGAGGATACAATAAGGCAATTTTCATTTTGAAAAAGAAAAAAAAAAGATCTTTAGGTGATGCACATTCCAATCATCGCTATCTTCCACATTCAGTGTGGCGCGGACCTCTGGCCCTGAGGCAGAGCTGTTTCCTTTGCTCTGACTGTAGAATAAGTGGCCCAGCACCTGTAAGCCGGCTTATCAGTGCAGGGTGGCTAAGGACCTTCCAAAGGTTAAGACAATGACAGAATCTCCCAGTCTGCCTTGAACAGGCCATTTTTCAGGATATGGACTATTTTCATTGCCTTGCAGTTTGAAGAACTGCCCCGATGCTGGTCACACATACAGGACTTGCCTCTGTCAACCTGTTTACTCCCATTGCCTCTCTGCTGTCCCTTTAATTCTTTATCACTCCCCTCTCCCCCATATACTTCTTTGCCCTGTTTCTTCCAGCTTTTAGCTGAATGAGGCAGCTCAAGAACAGAAAATGAAACAGTAGTTTCAGATCATTATTTCAAATCACATTTCCAAAGTCTTCATCCTCGTCTAATAGCAAGATTGGCAGGGATTCGCAGCCAGAGAAAGCTGACACAATCTCCCTAAAGTCCATTCTGTGGCTCCACCCCGTCTCCTGCAAGGTCACTGTGAAAGCAGTCCTTGAGAACAAAGAGAGAGGAGAATCTCTCACAGGCCAAAGCCCTCCAAAAGCCAGGGTTTCTCCTTCTCTGCAGCCAGAGCTCTGGGATCTGGGCTCAGGGTGCACAGAAAGAAGGTAGGGGAACAGCTGGAGAGCTTGGGCTGAGGGCTCTCCTGAAACTTCTGGAGTTCTCACAACTTGGTGGAGTTTTCATCTGTGCCTGGTGATCAGCCTTGGCCAGCCAAACTCATCCTCCTTTATCCACCCCAGAACCCAGTGTTCAGGAGCACAAAACTGCCCCAAGGTCCACTCGTGCCATGCAGTTCACCTGTGTGCTCTGCACAGCTTCCCCATGGGAAGTCACCCCACCCTCTACTCAATCCCAGTCCCACTGGAATGACAGACACCTGGTTTTCTCCCAGGTTTACCCTAGACACCCCCCTTCTTCTCCTTGCCCCCTCCACCCCCCGCCTCATGCCAAGCCTGGCTCTATTCCTCCCCGGGCACCTTCCAGCAGCTCCACCAGGCAGGCTGGCTCTGGGCTCCCTCCCTCAGTGAGTCGGCTGCCAGTGGGACTTGATCCTACCCCTCACCTTGCTGTTGACACACAAGGAAGCTCACTCCCGGCCTGCTGGATCCTCTCAGCCTCCCAGATGTGATTATGAACAATGGGAACACAGAACATCTAAATTGTGTGGTTGTGATGAAAAGCACCTTCTAACAATAGGAGATATTGCTTCAGGGGGATGTGGGGTGCTGGGGAAATGCTGTCTGGGAGCCAGGATGGCAGATGCCCAACCTGCCTGCCACTCTCTCCCAGCATACAGTACAACCCTTCCCCTAGCTGGCTGCTCCCAATGTGTCCCTTCTGCATTGAGAAAATAAAGTGTTCCCTGCTATACAGTTACCACGTGGACTGTTGTCCAGGGCTACAGAGATCTTCCTGCCTCCAAGGAAAGGAGTCTTTGCCAAAGAATGGAAAGTAATAAATGTCCTAGCTAAGAATCAGAAAAAGATATTCAGAGGGCCCGTCATTCCCCACAATCCAAAAAGGATGCACAGAGTATGTGAGAAGTGTGAGAACACAGTTCTCTCCATGTTGTTCCTCAGAGTTCTGGAACCTTCTTAAAATACTGGTGTCGGATAATTTTTTTAAAAATCCCCCTTATTTATCAGGTAAATGTGAAAGAAGAAGAGACCCTATGCTAGAGAATGAATGATTCCATATAACTTCATTCCTACTAAAAAAGGATAACTTCATCTCTACTAGAAAAAGAAAGAGAGAGAGAGACAGAGAGAGAAAGTAAATGGCTCTAAGAACAGGACTCCCTGTGCTTGATACTGGATACTCACTGATGATTCTACCTTTAAAACTACAGACTGGTGGAAATGTTAGTCATACCAATGCTGCTAACTGTGTTGGTCATTTAGATTTGAAGAGCACTATGAGTCTATTGCATAGAAAAGCCATAAAAAGATAGAAATCGAGGCCATTGTTGCTCAGAGGAAAATAAAAAGGATAACAATATTCACTATTTCTGAATAATATTACCCACTAATAGAGACCCAACAGATTCTTACCTCAGGATAATGAAGTGTAAAGGGGAATGAGGTGCACTTTCAAAGACCTCAAGGGCATTTTATACTCTTTTTCCTTCTTGATTTGGCTAATAGAAAGTGAACTTTACACACAGTCACACAGATGGGTAGTTTTTGTTTTGAACTTAAACACAATAAACAAACAAAAACCCCCAACACCCAAAGAAGAAAGTCATCAGTCGGCTGAAATCGTTGACTTGTCAGATTCAGGATGCTGTGTCCCAGCCTCCCCACCTGAGGAAACGAAGCCAAAGCCAGCCCCCAGGAAGGCAGGGGGTGTTCATTATAAATCACTCAATGCAGAGGCGTCCTGTTTCCAATCATGTATCAAACACAATAAGGCCAACCAAAGAGAAAGGGCACATTAGAAGGGAGCGTCTCAGAGTGTAATTTCCTAGAAGAGAAATTGATGAGCTGCACTTATTCTCCATTAGAGTGCGTCTCACTGCTTTTATTAGTTTATTCATCAACACAGCCATGGGCCCAGGCCAGCTCTGTGGGCCCGCAGGTCATCAGGCAAGGGATCCCGGGGGGTTCCCGCTCCTGGTCCACTTGTGCTTTCCAGATCATAACAAAGTCAGCAGAAGCAGTAGTCATGATGCATTGGGCTGCCAGTTTTTAGGGTTTCCCCAAAAGGCAATTCTCAGAGCAAGCCCCCAGGGCTCTATAGATATAAAGTGAACATCTTAAATGTACTTAGAAATCAAATGATTTTCTGTTTGTTGTATGAGGTTGGTGATTGCCTCTCAAAGAGCATTGCTTCTCTTGCCTTTACGGCCAAGTTCAATTTCTTGTTTAGTGGTGTAATAAAGGGGCGATTTAGGACCTGGCAGCAAGGACAACCCAAGCAATGAGCAAATCCATCCCTCATCTGCTGCGTACCTCTCTCCGTGATGCCACAGCTCACCTCTGAGCAACTCCACTTGGCACCCCAATGTCAGTCATGTTCCCCTAAACTATTCCCACTTCCCCAAATTCACAACTGTGGTCTCTCTTTTTATCATACAGTTCTCTGGCCCTGCAGAAGAGGGCAACCCAAGCCCTACTGGAGGGCTTCTCTCCATCTCTGCATCAGGTCACTCTTCCTATGAGTAACATAACTCTTTACTGTGGTGGAAACAAACACAGCTGATATCTACCAGTTGGCACAGGGGGCTGGAATGGGGTAAAAATGCAAGTAAAAAACATCTTACCTTGTTTTAAGGATATTCAGAAACTGCAGAATTTCTGAAAACTGTATCAGTCTGAGAGCTCTTAAAAATCTCAAACCTGGAAAGAAAGAGAGGGGCATTATTTTTAAAGCATGGATTTTACATCCACAGTCTGCTGTTGGAGTTGAGCTGTCCAGAACTGAAGGGACATGAAGTCCTTGCAGAAGAAAAAGAAGGCAGTACCTTGTTGCTTCATTCTGATGTCTGGCTGCTTTAATCCCGTTTGGTAAACTGACTTTGCTTTAAAGGTGACCTGTTTTGAACCATGTAAAGGTAAGGCCCCAGGGTTGAGGGGGCTCCCTTCTCCTTGACAAGCTCAAATTTAAAGCACTGCTTCTAAGTTCCCTGCTGGTCTGTCAGGAGTTTGTCTTGGAAAAATACTGGGAATTGAGATCATTCACAGTCATTCTTGTGCTAAAAGCAGATTAAGAATAAATCGGATAACCTTATGTTCTTGATGGATTTCTTTTTTTTTTTTTTTTTTTTTTTTTTTTTGTACCAGGGATTGAAACCAGGCGTGCTTAACCACTGAGCAACATCCCCAGTCATTTTTTATGTTTTATTTAAACACAGGGTTTCACTAAGTTGCTTAGGGCCTCACTAAATTGCTGAGGCTGGCTTTGAATTCCTAATCCTCCTGCCTCAGCCTCCAGAGGTATTAGAATTTCTTTATTTTCAGTCCCCCCAAAAATATAGTCCACAGTGCTTTCTGTTTTCTTTCTGTTATACTTTTCTCCCAATCAAAAAGAAAAAAAAATCATTAAGATATCATATCCTACAACTGTGGGATAAAAAAATTAAATAATTCCATTTTCACTAACATCAGGATGAATGTCTGTTCTTTCTAAATTCACCCTCTCTCTTGAATGGAAGAGTTCAAGTTTCTAGGCAGCAAAAGAAAGGCAGAGAAGGAAAATAGAATCAAGGAATTTTTTAAAAGTATCATTGCATTTTAATACTAAAAAGTAAACTATTTCTATTGAAGTCAAATTCATGAGTCAAAAACATCCTAAGTTAGTCATGGGGTTTGATGCCTTGACATCCCCCATACAAAAAAAAAAATTATTCACAAAAGTCCAACTTTCACAGGTTTATGACACACTAAATATCACACCGAGTTCCAAGGTAATTTCCTTTTGCATATTTTTGAAAGCATTTTATACAGGGTCCCCCCATTGCCAAAGTGGTGCCAAGTGGAACTGGACTGAATTGGCAGACAGCTGCAACCTGGGGTTGGGGGAAGACTATTCTAGTCCCTCTGCAGACAGTAAAGGGGAGTCCAATGCTCTTGGTGGGAGAAAGCAGTGGGGTCTCCAGAGATCCTGGTTACCTCCTGCTTAAAAAAAGGAGTGGCTAACTGGCCCATAGTGGAAGTTCTGGTAATGAGAAAAAATTAATTTCAAGCACATGGCAGATGTTGCAGGGTGGGGTGGGGAGGATCAAACCCATGGAGGTTTAAAAAGGGAGAAGATGCAAAAGTGCATGCCTTTAATCCCAGTAGCTCTGGAGGCTGAGACAGGAGGATCATGAGTTCAAAGCCAACCTCAACAACAGTAAGGCACTAAGCAACTCAGTGAGACCCTGTGTCTAAATAAAATACAAAACAGGGCTGGAGATGTGGCTAAGTGGCCAAGTGCCCCTGAGTTCAATCCCTAGTACCTGCCAAAAAAAAAAAATGTGGGGGAAAAAAGCACCTAAATTTTTTTTTAAAGTGATGGTATTTAAATCCTATACTATTTGCTTGTTTAACATATTCTACTGACTTACAAAAGTGTTATATGATATAAGCTTTTCTTTAACTCAGGCTTATGAAAATGAGGCTAGAAATGCTGTGAACGCAGTGGCCACAGGTCCAGATCCATAACCTTGGAGAGGGAACCCAATGATCCAGCTCTGAGCACCTTAACAGAAGCAAGCAGGGAGCAGGCATCAGCCTGGTAGTGTCTGTGTAAACAGGAAACAGACTGGTCCTCAGGACAACAGCTTGTCCAGCACAGAGACCAGAGGGGAACGTCTCCCTGCAAAGGGGACCCAGGATGGTATAGGAGGAAGAGTCTTGGGAACTGAACAGTGGTGGGCTTTGACTGCCTTGTACAGATCATTTTCATGGTGTTTGATTTAATTAATGCAAATGACGAAAGGTCCTACATGGGCAAAAACCATCAGTTGACGTTTTAGCCTCAGATCTTGGTCTGTGGTTTGCATCCTCAGGCAATAGTATACAGCAGCTTCTTCCTAATGGCCCCTTGGAGGTTTTAGTTCAGAATTCTCCAATGCTCCCATTCATACAGGACAAAAGGCAAAGGACTTCAAAGACCAAAAGTGACACCACAACCCTCCCCTACTAAACACACCATCTGCTTTTGGATCTGATGGTCTCCTACCAGGACTACTACCATTTTTCTCCTGGTCTGGCTGTCCTCACTGAGCCCTGTATCCAGGCATATTCCTGCCCTAGGGCCTTTGCACATTCTGTCCTCCCTGCCTGGAACACTCTTCTCTAGAACTCCACATGGTACACTCCTCACCTCCTCCAGGTTTTTACTTATGTCACCTCTGTTCAGTTGGACCTTCCTGCCCACCATACCTAAGACTACATGTCCTCTCACATCATCCCTGAAACTACTCTTTTTGCCTGCTTTTCCTTTTCTCCCCTGCATGATGCACTAACATCTAATTTACTTGCCATCTCATCTACACATCAGCTTTCCTCAGGGAGGGACTAATGTCTATTTAACTCATGGTTATATTTCCAGGACACCTGAAATAGTGTCTGGCTTCAGTTAGTTGCTCCGTAAATACTTGTGCACTCCATGAATGAATCAGAGTTTTGAGAAGGAATGATGTGGCAGAGAGTAAAGGGGACATAATCTGCATTCAGAATTCTGAGACCACAAGCTGCTTGCTCAAGGGGAAAGCCATAAACTCCACAGGGTTTCAACCCCTCAAGAGGCCAGGGCTGACCTCACCAGCGGGGAGCTTTAACCAGTGGCCTGCTGCACCCAGAGAGGCCCAGAGATGTCCAGACAGCAACTCCCAGTTACACAGAGGCCAGTGGGGAAGGAAACTCCTAAGGGACAAACTATTCATTTTCTCTACTTTATAAAACTTTTTCTTGTTGTTCATTCCATAAAATCTCTGAAATAGAATGATTTTCTAGGGGAACATAAAATTATAACAGAGTTGTGAAGAAAAAAAATGTATATGTACCAAAAGCCACAAATTATCCTCACCTCCCAGAAGGTAGAGGGCCCAGATGTTTTATGATGTTTTTTACACTATCAAGAAATAGTTAGGCCCGGTGAGGTGGCACACTCCTGTAATCCTGGTGGCTCGTGAGGTTGACACAGGAGAATCTCAAGTTCAAAGCCAGCCTCAGCAAAAAGCAAGGCATTAAGCAACTCAGTGAGATCCTGTCTCTAAATAAAATACAAAGTAGGACTTGGAATGTGACTCAGTGGTTGAATGCCCCTGAGTTCAATCCCTGGTACCCCCGCCCCCACAAAAGAGTCTCTCTCTCTCTCTCTCTCTCTCTCTCTCTCTCTCTCTATATATATATATATATATATATATATATATATATATATATATGCAGTATTATATGATACAGTAATAAAAACCAGACTTTTCTCTCTTTTCCTGTGCTCTGTATTGGTTTAGAAAGTTGGTATTACCTGAACACAGGTATAGCAGAATCACCACACTAGTGACTAAGGACAATGATGGTAAATAAAGTTCTAGCATGTCAAGTCCAGGATGGCATTCAATAAATCATACACACAAGCCATGCAGGACATTATGGGGCACAGCCCGGATCTTCAATTCAGGGGATTTGATTGTCCCAGGCTCCTGAATAGTGGCCTGCTGAGGGCTCACCTGTCCCTCTATGGGCATCATCCTCTGCTCCAAGGAGCTATCTTGCTCATTGCCACTTGCCTCCCTTGAGGATCAAAAGTCTTCCATGATGTGGGGAAAAGGGTTTGCTGCTATATCTGAATTTGAGATGATGCTGCAAGGTTATCTAGCCACAGAACTCCCTGTAGTGTAGGCAGAGGTTCAGCAGAGCTGGCCCCCATCTGAGTTCTCCACCCAGCCTGTATAGTACCCTAATTCCAAGACAGGTACTGGCTTTAAAACCTACCCCAAGATCTATATACCAGAAGGCAAAGCATTCTGATGCTCTTTTGGGCACGCTGTAGGTTCTTAAATTATAATTTCATCATATGAAACTACAGAATTGAAACACCATAGAATTATACACAATTTTATAGAAAAGTCAGTCAAGTAAACTAGAAAGCTCAGAAAGACACACACATGTACACAGGCAGAGAACAGTGACTTGAACCATGGTTTCTGATTGCACTGGGAACACATTTGGGGTAAAACCTGGCTCTGTTGGTTGCATTAGCACTGGGAACTTGCTGTGCAAACATGCAGGTCAAGATGGCCCAGTTGCTATGGTGATGCTCAGACTGGGAAGGCTCTGTGCAAAGGCATAGAGCTATATCAGTCTGGACCTTGAGCTCAGACACCAGCTCCTGGGTACAAAATTCTGAGCATAACAAGATAACCCTAATGTTTTTCTAGTCCTGTGCCTGCTTTGCGGAAAATTTCCCCAAAGTAACCTTTAGATGATAAAACCTATATAATAAAAGTGCTGAGCTAGCTCTGGGTCACTGATCCTCCATCAGAGGTTAGTGTCCTACCTGGCCCCAGTTTCCTCTCTTTGTGTGTTTGTCTTTTCTAAATCCCCCATTGCTCCTTGCTAGTTTCTGAATTAGCAGCCATTAGGATACAGCCTACACACACACATGTGCACACTTGGTATAATGAACTCTTGCTATTTTAAGTTATTGTGAAATTAGGATGCTGACTGTGATTTAAATTTATTATTATTGTTGATCTTCATTATTTTAAATTACTTATTATATGACAAAAACTTTATCTTTTTTAATCCTTACAACAGAAGAAAACAGCTAAGAATAAATAGAGGTAGTGTGTACAGCTCACAGTTTATAAGCAACAGAACCAGGTTTTACCCCAAATGTGTTGAAGTCA